CAGCTGGTCTGCGCATGCACGCATATTCCGGTTTGGGCGCGGAGCCGAAAAGGTTCGCCATCATTGGGATAAGATCTTAGAAGTTGCAAGGATTATATTTTCCTCGCTGGCTGCCTGAACGTAAACATAATAGTATGTTTTAAACTGCACAAGACAGCAAACTAGTTTAAATCGAATAGAGTTCTCCGGATCCTTCCTTTTTTGTGAAAAAGCAGTGAAAGTGAAATCTACTACCACTTTACAACCTTCCATTGGTTCATAACCAACTCTAGAGGGTTTCTAGGAGTGTCTAGCAAGACAATAGAGCAGTAGTGGTATTAGATTGCACTCTGCTGACTTAAAAATTACCCCCTTGAATTTTTTTAAAGTGTTTTGAATTTTAATGTGAATCTCAGAAAAGTGAAAAGATGCCATCCAAAGTGGACAGTGTAAGAAGCAAATTGTCTTCGCTTTATTTTCTAGAGCACCATGACACTATGTTTGTTATTTAACCAACGTCTCTCCTACATTTCAGTAAATTACAACTTAACCAGAATGTCACATGGGTATGATGAATTAAACGATGGGTATCTGATAATGTTTTGATGACATTATGCCCTGAAATGACTGGAAGCAATGTTTTCCTCTGCTACCTTCACAACATGGAAAAGAAACAGAAATAGGAAGATTTTGATTCCTATTGTGTTAGGAATCTTCCTTACTTGGGTAGTGTTTTGTTGGGAGACTCAATACTCAAATGAGACTCATTGTAAAATCTAAGGAAGGTAATCTGGCAGTCTGATCCTTCTGGAAAGACTCCTGAGGTTGCCAAACATCTGATGGAATCCAAATTTACAGCTCTAAAAAGGACGTGTGCTTTGCTCCAAATCTTAATCATCTCTCCCAGCCCAAAAACTACAACTGAAATGGTTTAAAATATGAGAGTCAGTTAACAATTCTTTTCTACAGCCAAAATATCAAATGAGAACTAGAACATACACAGCAAAGATGTTTAGGGTTTATGTTTTGACCATGGCCTACTCAACTCAACAGGATTCTATTTAAAATAATTAGAGACAGAGTCTGCAATATAAAACAATACCCCATGTTACTAGTGTTGTAGGGACAATTAGATCACTTACATCTATTTTAAGGCTGAAAACAACCAACTGCCTAGAACAGGATTGCCCAATCCCCGCGCCGTGGCCCACTATCGGGCCCTGATCCCTTCAGAACTGGGCAGTGGAAGTGGTAGGCAAGCGCGCACGAGGAAGCCTCACTTACATGCGCCGCGGGAAACGTGGGCGCACACGTTCCATTTGTGCGAGCAGCAGATGTGTTTGCCAGCCACTCGTGCAAATGGATCTGTGCACGTTCATGCACTTGAACAGAACCATCCCCTCCCCCCTGCCAGTTGGTCCACAAAGCCCGAAAGGTTGGGAAACTTTGGTTTAGAGGGGGGAAAAACATCCTTTCTTAAGGGATACTTCTCCCAAAAGGAAATCAAAGAAATGGAACAGGAGCGTGTCAATTGTTCCATCATATAGTACTGCAACTCTGGGACAGGATGTTCCGAATGTTTTTGGATGCGGTCCAACGTCATAGCAGGCCCATTTTGTATCAGACTACACCAGAACACAAGGACCATTTGTTTCAAAATTGGAGTGTTCTATTTTGGGATCAGAATGATCCTTAATGGTAATATTTTTTTTTATTAACTCCTCTACAACGTGGAAGCTCACAGGGAAATGTCTCTTGAAGAGCCAATTTAAAAATGATTTTCACAGATTTACAAAATCGATTCGTCTCATCAAAGTTCTTTTAAAGAATCACTTAGGGCACTAAGTTAAAGAACAAAATAGTTCCCGTCCTTGGGTATTAGTAACTAGTGTTTATTCACTCCAAGGTATTTGTCTGGCTGATTGAACCACTCAGATTTAAAGAAATCAATAATCTTTGCATTAACATGCTTGCTTCAACAAAAGTAACGTCAGGACAAATTTGTGAGCAACAGCCACTGCAAGAAGGGGCCGAAAAAGGAACAATGTGATTTTCCTATTGCTTAAAGTCATTCACATGTCCTCTTCTGCCAGTTCAGTTCAATGTCCATAAAAGTTCTGAATCTTGTCATTTGTAACAATAAGAATTGTTTCCCATAGTCAAAGTATAACAAATTAATGTGCCACTTGATCAAGGCTGCCAATATGATTTCCCAAGACTTCCCAGTAAACTGATGGATTTGTTTGATGGTTAGAAAAGTTATTTACACAATAAGTTAGCTTTGTAAGATGCTCCCTCAGAATAAGAGTGGGGAGCTTAAGCTCAGTCCTTTAAATCTAGCTCCTGGATCTCAGATATTGCCAGTAAACAAAACATGATGCTTCATGCTTTAGGACTTTATATGTTGGCTACCAATAACCTTTTTTTTTAAAAAAAAAAGATTCGGGATTGAAATGCCTTTGCACAAATTTGCGAGCTAGGCAACTCGAGTTTCATAAACTGTGTGAACATCATGAAGCAAAGCAACTCACTATGAAGCTACATATTATGTGCACATAGTTTATTCAATGAGAAAAATATTACTTCTTGCTTCCAACACTTACCAGTAATTGGGATAAAGAGAACCAGTAAAAAGGAGTGTAAAATTGGTTTCCACATTCCCTGCCAAATCAAACATTTAAAGAATCCAGGAATGGTTTAACTCAGTTTTGTACAGTTCCGTACACAAAAAAAAAAAAAAATTATTATTTTTGCATATTCCAAAGGTAAAAGATGTAGGTAATGAAAATTTACATTTGGCTTGAAACATTTTCCTACAAAGATTTATTTCAGCATCTATTTACAGAGATTTATACAGCTGAACCATGTGATGAAATCTTCTGCTACTGTTAAAAACAAGAATTCATTTCAAACGCTGTGTCAATCAAGCGTAAGGAAGCTGTCTCACTTTCAATAGAAGAAAACAGTTGGGATAATATTTTTTTCCTTCCAAAAAAGGGGAGGAAGTAGGAAATTTGGCAGACAGGAAGAGAGAAGGGCCACGCCTTACCAACTGACCCATGACCACTCTATTACACCTTCCGACGTAAGGAGGTAAAAATGACAGGCACTGTTAATTCCAAAGAGAGTTTGCTGCATTTAGCTTGTACTCCAAAAAAAATGTGAAGAAGTCTTGAAGAGTTCTAACATTCCATGACTTTTTCGCCAGTTGAGTTCACAGCATTCCTGGTACATCAATGCCAAGTCTTAGGTTGCAAATTTGCTTCTGGTTTTCTTTTCTTTTTATATATTAAATAGGTTTACTGTATACTATGGTGTAAATTGGAAACTTACTTCAAAGACCATTACAAATGTTGCCTTCGTATACAACAAAATCGTTGTGCTGGACTGACCGATCTTCATGAAGGTTTTATAAATAATATAAATTTAGAACCAGTCTTCAGGACCTTTGTCAATCATTATACCATGTTGTTGCTTTCTCCAGCTTTATCTACAAGCTGTGGGCAAAGGAGACAGAAGGGAAGGTGGAATTGGGGTAAGGAAAAGAAATCAAAATTTAATACATTCATTAAGAATAGAACACATTGATGCTACTTCAACACTTGCATTTTAAGTGAGTGACTGGGTGTAGTATAATCTTATTCAAACAATACTAACCAAGGCCTTATGTAGTTTACACAAAGTAAGACCGTTTGCATTACAACCGCATTTAGCCATGGTATGTTATTATGTTAACACAGAGCAACATGAAGATGTAACAGAATGAAAAATAAATAAAAATAAATCAGAAATAATGCAAGTATAAAAACTGTTAGCTCATTAACCCAAAGTGGGGAGGAAAAGAATATTGTTTTGAAAAATAATCAGCCATTCATGCATTAATAGACTGAAGATGATATTTTCAACTAACCATTACTGGGAATTGTCTCCTGAACCTACGCAGGCTTTGAAGAAAACATCAACAATTAACTTTTCCAAAAGGATTTAACTCCATAAAGTCCAGTTTATAAATGATATTGATACAGAAAAGCAATAAGCAAGATGTCAAGCCAAATTATGAACAGACTTATTTAAGTAGATTTAAAATAAGAAGAAAACCCAGCTGTATTAACTAAGATTTTTTTAATCCATTAGACATACTGATGCCTTGGAAACTAGAGGCACGATGCGGGGATGAAGCTCCTGTAGCAATAAAGCAAAATGTGCCAACCTTTGGCATGGCACACTGTCAGGCCAAGTAAAGGGCAGCATGCTTCTCCTAGCCTAAGTGTAATTGCAGCTATATCCTGAAAACATGATATCTATGTCTGTATGTATTCTATTTAGAATTCTCAATTTGTAATGCACTTGGAACAAATGCCAGCCACTGCATGCTTAATATTACACATGTTCAGAAATGCAAAATTAGAGAGAGATAGGAGAATAATCATAGCTGCAAAGAAATGTGTCAACATCCACAAGGAGGCTGCCATGTTATTTCATGAGCATCGACTATTGTAAAGATGGATATGGGCAATAGGCAGTTTTGGATATGCCTGGTGAGGCCTGCCAGATGCCCACATTCCCTTCTGGAAACTCCCCCTGCAGTTAGATTTCACCTCAGCAATATACGACAATGTCAACTTGCTATTTTATCTGGGAAGATTCCCCATCCTTACTCTGTATCTCCAGAAACCATTACATCCAAATTAGGGTGTGAAACGCTAGCAAAAGCAATAGGCGGAGCTGAGGTGATAGTCGAATGGCCTCCTTTTAATGAGCCTGAACAATAAATCTGTTATATTTGCTTGGTTTAGTTTAATGCTCCCGACAATCTTGTTGCACAAAATAGGGACAAAATAATGCTCAAAATAAAATGGCATGTGGATAAGCTCTTGATGCCTTTCCTGTTATTCAATTTATTTTCTCAGCTGCCTCAAACAACTTTCCTAGAGTGAAACATTTTCTGAAAGCCTTCATGCTTTCTGAAAGGGCATTCTGAAGATTGTTCTCAAGCACCCTCTAAAAGTTCCCCATTTTTTGGGGGGGTAATTAATGCACCTAACAAGACACACCACAAGCCCATTTCAAGGAAAACATACACTCTCTTGCTCTCTCCTAACTGTCCTTCTCATTCATAGGCCCCAATAGATTTAGAGAATGTTAGGTTATTGCCTCAAACTGGAATTGGAACATCATTACAGATAGTCTTCACTTAGTGACCAGTTGCGAAGATGGCAGTAATACTACATCATCTCCTTTTAATGACCCCATAATCCCTTGCAGGGTGGAGTCTGGGCAACTGAATAGAGCTGAGTGTTTACTGGCCGGATGCCCTTCCTGTTGCCAATGTGGAATTTTATTCAGCAGATATATTCTCATTGTGCCTAGAGAGAAATATCTGCCTTTACCTAGGATCGAACCCAAGCCTCCTGATTGTGGGGCGAGAGTTCTACCTCTAGGCGATCGCACCACTCATGGCAGCAATATGTGGTGGCCAAAAGTTCAATTTCTGACCAATACCCTCCAAATTTGGGGCACCTGACAACAAAAACCTTCCGAGTGAAAAACTGATGAAGGTCTGGTCAGTTTCAAGCTGCAGTACAAAAGGGTTTCTAATCAATTAATTAAAGTCACTGAGCAGAGTCTCTTAACTTGAGGTTAACACATTTTAGGGAAATGTTGCGGACAAAAGCAGCTCAAGAAGAGACAGTTTAAGCGATCTCTCCAGTCTGCAAGGGGCAACAAAAATGCCAGGCACAAGACACTGTAGGAGAGAACTTTGAATTACACAGCAGCAACCAGGGATTTTTGTATCTCTCTCACTGGGTCACATGTTCACAGCGAACATTTCAATTAACAAACAAGTCATCGGAACAGAATACAGTCACTGCATTCTAAATGAGGAGAGAGTATAGCTACCTATTTGTTAAGTTTGGGATAAATAATGTTTTTATATTGAGCTTCATAAATGGTAGCTGTGGTTTGGTCAAGAAGTATTTGCCCATTTTGGATTATTATTTTTGTTATTTGTTCATTCAGAATTCCTTTATATGCCAGGAAGACTTACATGAATCACTGACATCAATGGGGGAAAAATGTAGAAGTTCATAAATTTAAAAGAGATAAATAGTTTTTCACAAACCTGTGATTCATACTGAGACCAAAGGGACTTGAGTAAATCTGATGGGAGCTTTACGTGACAATTTATGCATATCAACAATGTATTCTTGTTCTTGAAACTAAAGGACCAGTCAATTTCTATGCCAAACCAGCTTTTAACTTCAAACTCAATTTGCTGGATAAGCTGCAAGATAACTTAAAAAAAAAACCCCTCCTGTGAGTGATTGTATGAAAACTGTCCTAATTCAAATTCAAGTAGAGGGGGGAAATTATGTCTCTTCTGACCTGAAACATGGGGAGATGATGTCCAAAAAATCTGGAGAATAAATATAAGGATAGGGAAGGCTTGGCTTATCCTGAATTTGAATCCTTATTCGAATCCTGTTATCATTGTTACCTGAAGGCAAATATAAGCATTTAGTGACCCATATTTAGAATGCACATCTCTGTACATGCTAGTCCAGGTTCTTTAAATGGAATCCAAGAAACAGAAGGAAAAGAGAACTTGCTGTTTATTATGTGAAATTATGTCATACTTACTGATCTTATACCAGGTAAATTCAACAGATACCCCAGAACTGGCACTCTTCTAATAAAACCGATCACCACAGGGAAAAAGCCCCTTTGGGAAAAAACAAACAAACACATTACAAGATTAGAAGATATTTCCAAAATAGGCTGCATTTACACTTTCCTAAGATTTTTTAGCTTATTTTTTGTATGAAGAAATATGCAATTCCTCACATCACATATATTCGTCCCTTTCAGAATGAAGAGTGCGCCCATCCCTAAGTCTTTACATATTTCAAGTAGTTAGTGATACAGAGAGTCTTGCTTACTGACGACTCCTCCAGTGACCATTCAAACTTACAGTGGCAATGGGAATTAAACAGATTTCTACAGAAGCTGGTTATCTTTCTGTGGTAGTTTCTACCTATCTGGTTTGACAGAGTTGGCATGCTCTAAATCCCATTGATCCCACTGAGTAATCCTTCTGTGTCATGGTGCCTGTCCTTGGAACACCACTTCACCTGAGATTCTTATGCCTGCCCCACTTCTGACCATGTTTAAATGAGCCCTTAAAACCTGGCTCCGTTCTACACCAGGGTTACAATGAGCAGTAAGCCCCTTATGGGATGCTTTGACTGTTTCATTAAATGTTGATTATCTCCAGGCATTCTTTTGGACAACATATTATGTAGTTTGGTTGGGTTTATTCTTGCAAAGATGCCCAGATATACAGGAGGAGGCAGCCTGTAAGTCTAATAAATGAACAATTATTTCTATACAAATTTTCTTTTTGGCAGTAAGATGCATTCACCTGGGGTTGTGTGCCAGAATTCACAAGGCAGCAGTGTAGGGAACGACTACAAGTAGTCCTTGACTTACAACAGTTCATTTAGTGACCATTCAAACTTACAACGGTACTGAGAAAAAGTGAATTATGACCATTACGACCGTTGCAGCATCCCCATGGTCACACAATCAAAATTCAGAGGCTTAACAACTGAATCATCTTTATGACAGTTGCAGTGTCCAGGGGTCAGGTTTTTGCCACCTTCTGACAAGCAAAGTCAATGGGGAAGCCAGATTCATTTAATAACCCTGTTCCTCACTTAAAGTATGCAATGATTCAAACTGTGGCAAGAAAATTTGTAAAATTGTCCAAAATAAATTTTGAGCTCAATTGTGACCGTAACTCGAGGACTACCTGTATTTTTTTTTCTTGCACATATTGCCAACAGTGCAATAGGAGAGAAACAACCTGTTCCCACCATGAAATGCAATTCTGTACTAGAAATGATTGCTAGCATAAAGCTTGCACTCTTCTACATTTCTATCTACCCTATTTTTCAGAGTATAAGACACAACTTTTTCTCCCCCCAAAAGAGGGTGAAAATCTCAGTGCGTCTTATAGACTGAATATAGCATTTTTGGCCTACCTAAACCCTACCCCCTTTGCAAAAATGGACGTGCAGAGGTGCTCCTGGGGCAAAAATGAGCAAAAAACGGGCAATTTTTGCTCATTTTTGGTCCCCCCCCCAGCCTCCAGGAGCACTCTACAAGCCTCCCAAAGCTCTGCATGCCCCCCCCCCCCTGTTTTTGAGTGCAAAAAACGAGGCCTGCAGAGGGTCTGGGAGGCCTGCAGAGTGCAAAAACTTTTTTTTTAAATGTACCTCTTCAAAATCATGGTGCGTGTAGTCCAAAAGTACAGTAAATATTTTTTTCTAAATGAGATTTCAAGCACTATTCCTCACATATCTTAAATCACAAATGTCTATAAACTCCTCTGGCAGAATTTGTTTTTTTCTTAGTGATAGCCAACCAAAAGCATATTTAGAACCAAACTTAAATGGCCTCCCTGCGATGGATACATTTGATATGTAATTAACTAAAAATTACCTGAATAAAAGGAAGAAGCCATAAATTTCAAAGACCATTCCTATCAGAGGCCAGCCAATGAGAACTATAAATACACCACCCAAGAAGAAACCTGTGGCTTTCAGTTTGTGTTTCTGGAAAAAGAATCTGAAAGTTCGTTCTAAACCAATTACAAAAGCCAGGCCAGCCACAAATAAAACCTGCAAAAAATGAAAACAAAAGTATTTGAAGATAGGAAATATTCAGAGAGAAAATACTCAGATTCAAAATAAATGTTCTCCAAATATCTATGCCAACAATTTGGTAGGAAATAGGAATGTCTTAAAGGTATCTTTATAATGTTGGCACAATCGAAAAACATAACTGTTTGCGAAGGGAGATAAATAATTTACAGTATAAACACTTAGAGGTATTACTAACATGATAGATTAGAGAGGAACATTTATTTTTCTCCCACCTTTATTTCATTTATAAATAAGGCAATGAACATACTTAATACTCCTCCTTTCTTCTATTTTCTCCACAACAACCACCCTGTGAGGTGGTTTGGGCTGAGAGAGAGGGATTGGCCCAAAGTCAGCCAGCTGACTTTCATGCCTCTGTTGCTAAGGATTAGATCTATCTATCATCTATCTATCGCTGTGTGTCTGTATGTTCCAGCATAACTCTGGAACCCCTTGAGCAATTTCAACCAC